CCTCCTAAAGCCATGTTCAACAAGGCTCCAATTTGCCATGTTCGGAGCTTCCGATGGATGGTAGGTGGTGCAATGCATCAACCAGAAATGAGCGATATACACACACCCTAGGGATCCACATACCTTCTCAGAAGGTACTTGGGCCCTCCAAGCCTACACACATAGTCTCCAATGACCTTCTGAGAAGGTACTTGGATCCCTAGGGACAATAAAGATCCCACCACCAGGCTAAATGGATTTAACGATGCCGAGTTCCTCGGCCGACTGCGAAGGTCAGAAGCTTCTGCCGGGAGACTTGGAGATCTTTTCAAGAAGGTCTTTGGCGATCTTGGGAGTGCCTGAGGCCACTTGGGCCTTCAGAATCGAATGAACACGAGAGTAACATGAGGTTTATGGAAAAAACATGTGATTGAAAAGTGGAGCCGATAAAAAAAAACAATGTCATTTCCATCGTATGAGTGTTCTTATGTCAGCGGTGCCGCATTTCTTTCGTGAACGGTAGCAGACAGCAGAGTGGACTTGCAAATGCTTCCATCCCACGTCCAACATGTTCCTAGCCTGGGCACCGGTCCACTGTAGAGAGGAGTGGGGAATTAGAGGAGGATGGGCAACAGGAGGCTCTAGTTGGGCCTCAACCCCACTCGTGGGAGGTGCAACAACGAGACGTAAAACCTTGACAAATCCTGAGAAGCAGCATGTGGCAACTTGGCTGGGCTTGGCTTCACATCCTGGGAGACATCAATCAAGTGAGAAATCATATGAAATCATCGTTCTTCTACAGTGGTTTCAGAGTAGATGGCACAAACCCCTATATATGTCTTTTAGATGGGGATCCATATAAACCACCTTTTGGGGATTTTGCCATCTACTCTCAATCCACTATATCTGATGCGGACATTTAGTTGTGAAATCTGGCATCCACCCTCCAGCCCCGCAGCTCAGGCAAAGCTCACAGGGGCGCATGCGCATGCGAGAACGCCAGCTCCAACCCCCTCTCGAACGTCGGCTCGCCTTTCAATCGTCATTCAAGCATGCTATAAATCAGTCAAACAGACTTCAAACAGTCAGTCGACCAACGCACATCCGTCGGTCAGATCGGTCCGTTTCACGGACCGTTCACTTCTTCCCCATCCCCAGACCGGGACCTCGGTCGTCCCAAGCTACAAACTTCGTACTCGATGAGCTTGGCCACCTTCTTCTCCTTCACCTCCTCCAAAAGCTCCGCGTACGTCATCGCCTCCTGACAGTGATCACCGGACGATTCCTGGCCAGGGCCTGTAGTACAAAGGAGAAAACCCTAAAAAGAATCTGGTCTGCAAAGGTCCGCAACCCAAGGTTCGGGCTACTTTTCCAAAGAAGAAGTTCCTCCCGCTTGCCGGAACTGGGTCATCAATGAGCGTCCTGACAAGCCGGTTTCCCTGCAAAGACTCTTGATCCATCAGCCCCCTATAAGAAGAGGTTGGTACAATCAATGTCTGGAGGGGCTTTCTGGATCAAGAGTTTGTACATTAACATACTTTAGCTGAAATAGTCAGTGGTTGCGTCGAAGAACCTCCAGCGAGGTAATCAGCAGCTAAGATCTTTGACTTGGCAGCTAGGATCTTGGAATGACCTCCCGCCAAGCCCATGAAATCCATTTGAGGATCTTATCCAGTGTTATCCAGATCCCTCTGCCCGGTCGATCGCCTGAAGCACGAGGAATGCAGGCCAGCCTGGGAATCCTTCCCGCCTTTGAGCCCAAATCTGCTGGGAATGGCTGCAGCTGATGAATGCATTGAACCCCATCAAGCCGCTGGGCATGGAAAGATTGGGCCTTCCGTGTAGTGCCGGAGTTTCGTTGATCAGAAACTCGGTTGACATTTCAGGCAGTTCATGTTGAGTGGAGTGAATCAACGCATCAACATGACGCCTCTGCGTAAAGAAACTGATGCTGTCTGGTGCGGAAGATTCTGGGTTCTTTTGAGGTTCCAACAACAACAACAACAACAACAACAACAACACCAGCAACAACAACAACAACAACAACAGCACCAGCACCAACACCAACACCAACACCAACAACACCAGCAGCAGCACTCTTGCGACCTCGGCGGGGTGGGCCCCTAGAATACCCTAGCCCGATGCCGCTATAGTGGGTTAAGAGGGGATCACTCCTGAGGACCCCAATCTATATAAGTTCGTGTCAAAACCCATTTACTCGCTCTCTCTCTCTAGTAGATTCGTGGATCTTCAGATCTGGTCATCCACTACAAATCAATGGAACTCAATGACCGCTTCCCGCCGCTTCCATGGCTTTCCACCCGCCACCGGATCGCTCCTGGGGCGCCCGGGCAACATGGAGATCGTCGCAGGGCCCTGAGCATAACCTCCCTGGGTGAGTTGCCACCTGAGAAAACCAACCAACAAGCTGACTGTCTATGTTGCGTGTGTGGTGTGGGGGTGGCAGCGTCATGGGGTGTGGAGAAACTGCTATTGAAGACAGGAACAAACACCAATGGTCAAAACAAAGCAGAAGACTTGAAATGGCGTGATCATGTGCGATCTTACCCATATCAGGTCAAATGCTCAATGGCCGTGACTGGGACTGTGTCGCAAAAGCCGGCACCTGGTGATGCAGCCGGTGACTCTTCAAACAGTCTGAGGTGACCAACCATACGATGAGCACCAGGACGTGATGAATCCTTGGTGGAACATGGCAATTTTGTGTGGCACGTCGCAATTTGTCACTCAGATCAACATATTGACCCCCAATAGATAGAAAAGTATACTTGTAGGTTCCCACTAAAATTGTATTGGAAACAGCTTCTATCTATTTGGGGATCAATGCCCAACCACTCCATGGGACTGTCATATTTACCTACATTGGGGTGGTTGATGTCAGGGGTCAATGTAGGTCAATATGCCAGTCCCATTCGTCGTGTCTGGGTATTGTGTTGGTCCCAGTATGCCGCATACTGCACTCGGTGGGGTACTATGGTTCCTCGGTTTCATCTCCCTTTTTTGGGATATATATTATGTAAATATAACGAATATAATACAGTAGTATATATTGGAAGCGCTTGGATTACGAATGGGTGATGTTTCAGACCCGACCAGGTCGCCAAATATATAGGCATGCGGCATGCTTTTCTTACAAACCGTTCCGAAGCTGTGAGGTGGACATAGCCTACCGTTTTCAAAGAGGCTCAGCGTCATGCTATAAATCTAGAGTGAGGTGGACATGACGAATAATCCATATAATTGCATGTTGTATTCCTGTAGTGAGGTGGACATCGCATAAGCTAACACATGTGTTGTTTACTGTAGTTGAGCACAGCTAACACATAATAGCCTTCCCTGCTTCAAGACAGGGACATAGCCTACCGTGGGATGAACGCCGTAAGTCATAAGTGTGATGCTAGGGCCTGCTAGGGTGTCATCAAATAATGAATCATGTCTGTCTAAATACACACCCTCTCAAAAAAGAGAAACGATCTACAGTACCACCTATAATATAAGTCATTAGTTTCCTCTGCCAAAATTAAAAGTTACAGTAGAAGCTTCTGTTGCATTTCTCTCCGTCTCTCTCTCTCTCTCTCTCTCTCCTCAGCTCAAAAAGGCTTCTGTCCGCTTTGGACCAAACACCTGCAGCTTATTATGTGGCACCAACCATTTGGAGAGCCTAATTGGTGAGTATAAACAATGCAGCCATGTGGTGATAAACATAACCGGAAAGTGGATGAAAGTGATAAAGGATGGAAAATGTTTACCACCAAGGAAAGTGATGGAAGAGGTACATCCAATGGAGGGATGAAAGGATGGAAGAGGTACATCCAAGAAACTTGGCACGCTGGAGGCCCCAGAACTCAGAACGACGAACAAGTGACCAAGTGTGTACAATTGAGCAATTCGGTGGGCCACCAAAGTTAGATCCTGATCCTCCAAAACCTGTTCCCCCCCCAAAAAAACGAGTTCAACGGCAGACTCTCTAAACGGCACCGGCTTTTGGCTCCCACCGGAAACGCACGGGTTTTGCGGTGAAACGCGCTTGGCAAGCGCCCCACGCTGAGACGCTGGGAGAAGGACACGAGAAGGATCAAGGTCTGGAACATGAGGGTCCGGTCCATCCGATTGCCAACCGATACAATCCCTGAAATCATCCATGGGCCAACGTGGGCTGCTATGGCCCACAACATGAAATCCGAAGACCAAACTGGTGAAGGGTGAACTCCATGATTTTTAAGCATGATGATTTCAGGAGTGCATCTATGAGGGAAGACCCCCATCTTCACCCAACCTTCAATCACACATCAACAAATCTTCCGAGAATTTTTCGCTTGAGTGTGCAGGTTGGTCTATGTGAGTTACCTTCCCGTGGTCCACCCCCCAAAAAAGCATCGATGGAGCGCTCCGGCTGACTGGTGGCTCCAGGCGATGAACTGGTGGCTCCGGCCGACTCGGACAAGCTCCACGTCCCTTGAGTGTCCTAGCTGGACTCCCTACACGACCTAGAGGGATCTCCTGACACCCATGGCCCATGGGATTGCATATCAAACATCTCTATTTTCCACCTGTCAGTACAAACAAGTGCCAAAGACCATCCATCCCCCATCTATCCACCTGAGTTATTTCGGAAGGCAAACGATCCACTGATAGGACACAGAACCAGAATCCACTCACGAACCCGGCTTGAGATCCAAAGACCTCGGGGAATGGCTCTTTGGATCATGTTGATGTACCTGATTGAGTTAAAACTGTAACAACAACCCGAAACTCCGGTCATGTGTGACCAACAGGTGTCAATTCATTGAAAAAGGCAAACAACCCATGCGTCTCCAGAATCACATATCTCCACAAAGTTTTCACACGTCTCAATTTGACAAAAGCCTGTGACCTGTGATGCTATATATAGGTTCACATCCACGTCGACCTGTCTGCCATCGCCGTCGACTCTGCACCGTCCGAGGCATCGCAGGACGCCGCAGGACGTCGCAGGACGTCGCCGTCGACGTCGCCTCACTTCAGCCCACGACGTCGCCCACGGTGATCTTCGAAGCCTTCTGGCGCAAGCGATCCACCACGCGGCCCTTGGTGGGCGCCATGGCACTCGCAGCTCTTCCTTGCTCCTGGAGGAACGGTTTAGAAGTGCTGCCGGCCGATGTTGAAAGCAATGGTTTCAGCTCTGTAGACTTATATACAGGTTAAGTGTTTAAAGCAATGAGCTATTGTGAGATATGGTTTCTTCTTCTCTTCAAAGAAACACTTCGAAATCCCCCCGACATGCCCACATGTGGATCCTCTTGCCCACGCTTCACCCAGACTGAACTCCGACCGACCCCATGACCGACCCCATCCGTGTGGCCCGCTGAGGAAACCTCCCAATTGCCACCTGCAAGCTGCCATGATGGCTTGGGCCGACCAAGCTTCCCAAAGACCTTCAAACACAGGACAAAAAGACCTTCAAAACACATGACATCTGGTGGTCGTTCCTGTCATCTATCGACGTTCGTATGATCCCATGGGTGTGTTCGTCCCCGTTCCTTGTGCAGCCGCCAGAGATACCGGAAGATCGGAACCGCTTGCTTCGTGCGGCTTTGGTTTCCTCAGCGAGCTCAAGAACTGAAGCGCAGCTACAGCCCCAAAAACGTCCGAAAGACTCAGAAAGCGAACAAAACACTTGTTAAACTACTATGTATAATATATCCAGAAGGGCCCATATGGGCACATATATTTATGACGTTGTAGTTCTCATCTTCCAGGCATCGATCTGGGTGGTACTCTCGCAGCAACTTCTTCAAGGTCTTTCCAAAGATCTCACGGCTCTGCCCATCGGCCGCCTCGCGAGGTGAACGAGTTCGCGAGTTCGCGAGGCTTGGTAGATCAATCCAGGCCACGGTGGAGGCATTCAATCGGAGATGGATGAAGGGGTGAGGGAGGTTGTTTTTATTTAAGTCAACAGATTAGGAGTTTCTGTTTTTAACCAAGAAAAGTGTTTGGAGGTTCTCAGTCCAGCAAGAACCGCTAAACTCAGAAGCCCACCGAAGTCCCGGGAGATTGCAGCAGCTTGGAGTTCATCTGGAATTGAAGCCACCCGCAAAAGGGCATCTTGGGCCCTAAAGCCATACTGCGGCCTTGGGCCACCCAGATCAACTACCCTCTCTCCAACAATCATGGAAGTGGACAATGGCCCCTGCAAAGACCATTCATTCTCCTCTACAAACAGGGGGTTGTCCACTTCCATGTGTGTTGCAGGGAGGGTAAGGGACAGGCCACAAAAGCGCCAGGCTCCCAATGGGAAGGCAACTAGTCACTATCCAAAACCCGGGCCGGCAAAAGGCCTCCAGTTCAGCATCCACGACCTTCAGCAAATCCAACCTGGATGATGAGCTGACATGCACCAGAGCCAACACAAGTATGCAAATGATGCAAATGATCAATCAAGCCAACATATTTCGGTAGAAACAGGTTTAAGCAGCTTCTGCAAATGCTGGATGCCGACAAACGAAAAGAAGCTGCCGGCATGCTTATGTTGCTTACTTCCTATCATATTACGAGTGCCAGCAACAGTGGATAATGTTTTTGTGTGTGTGTTTTACTGACTGTTGCAGCCACTGTTGCAGATAATAGGACAAACCCAAGTTCTACGTATATTATGTGTGGTGTTTCTTTGCTGCAGGCCATGAGGGATGGATCAAACTGAAGAAAGCCATAGAAATTCTGGAGTTAGGACGTCCACCCAAGCTTTTTTGAGCAGCTTCAAGTCCTCCATGTGTCATGGACAGCTATTGAGTGATCAGAAAAAAAGAACGGCTCAAGCAGCGGTTGTATCAGTTCATTCAAGATCACCAACTGCTCGTCACGAACTCCTCTTTCTGCATCCAAGCCACGGCTGCTGAGTTTCCTCCAAGGCCCTCAAGGCTTCGTCGCGCGCGGGGATGTTCTTGGGCATCTGCAGGTCCCCCCCACGCTGGTCGCCTGGGGTCTGGAGGAGTCGGGTGCCACCAAGGAACATGCTTTCGGGTGGTAACGTCAAAAGAACCGGCTAGGCCTTCATTAGATGTTGGCATCCCAATGGTGGAAGGAGGACCCTTGTTGGCTTTGGGGAGGCTGTTGATGTTGTTGCTGTCGTCAACTGCATAGGAACCAACTGGAAATCTGCGGTTCAACATCCCGGTGATGGCCGTTTGCCTGAACTGGAAGGCCTCTGGGCAAACACAGCTTGCACAGTTGATGAAGGAGGGACTTTGGAATGCTTCATGGACTCTGCCCCCTCTGAACCCTTCAGAGGGTCAGTAGAAGGTCAGTCCCGTAGGGTCCAGGTACATACACTCCGAAGATGGTCTTAGAGGTGTGTACGTTGCCTTGCAGGACGTCCGATTTGCATGATCGTGGTTATGAGAATTTCACAGCAGTGTCACCTCCTTAGAATCTACAACGACTCAGCGGCGTCACAAGCATGACTCAGGGACTTCTATGACCTCCCGCCCCAGCAACACCACCCCCACCTCCCAGCTCGTCAACGTTGATGGGCGTGGCCGCCATCACTGCGCGGAGGATGTCCCGCATGGCATCTGGATCCTGCGGAGGATGTGGCCCATCCGTCCAGCCATGACAGTCAGGACGCAAGGTCACGCCAAAAAATCACCTTTGAGCGATCAATAGTTGGTAATTCGTACAAATTTACAAATTTTCTGAGAAAAACTAGTGGTAGGACCACGTGAAACCTGCTACAGTATGGCTTCCTCAAACACTCACCGTCGGCGGAACACGCCATGACGATGTTGTTTTCCAATCATTGGCTATTTGCGGCTTCCGTGATTGTTTCAAAGAGGGTTGCCAATCTACTTGAGAAAAGGTTTAAACAGTTGAAGTCAAAGGTCTACCATGACTAAAACGACTTCCATGGGTTCAACTCCTGACTGAACACCCTACGGTTTGGACCTCTCGTCTTTAGACCAATCAAGTCCCCTCACAGAATCAATCCTGGGCTATCTGGCAACCAAACTGCCGGTTCAGCTGCCGTAAGGGCAGTATCATCCTGCAGGGGCCACCTGTAGAAGTTCACTTCCTAGACCTCCCCACCCATTCTCACCATATCTCACCAGTTTCGCACCCGCTCCTGCACCGCCTCATCTGAAGTTGGCCCATCCTTTCGTGGTCCCGCCAGCAGTACCGCGCTGGCACCGCGCAGATTCCGCGGCACCGCAGATGGGTTGGTCATGGTGGTGCGGTGGAAGACTCGCAAGCCACTTACCTGAGGTGGAAGACTCGCAAGCGCAAAGACATGACACGGCTTTTTCTGTGAGTGATTGTTGCATTCTGGAGGCTCTAGTGGCACATCCTGCAAAACATCATTTCATATGCTCTGGACCTTTTTGGGGGCGGGGGCAAGTGCCACATGGAACAGTTCAAATTCTTCTGTTTTCCAAGTCACTAAGGGTAGAGTCTGCGTCCCCGGCGCAGGCAAATGAGCCTCAAACAATCCACTGATAGCGGTCCACCGCTGGGGTTGTAAAGGACTTCCGAACTCTTCCCGAGTGTACCAACCAACTGGGACAACCCTGATGAACTTTAAATATATCAAGTGTGCTAGACCTTTAAATAGGAAATAAACTTATCCGGGCCACCGGCATTGTTGAAGGTCTACGACCTTCAAAACTAGTCTACGACCTTCAACACCACCTGCTGAGATGAACATATGCGTACCTGGACCCTCCAAAGTACTTTAGAAAATGGGACATGACCCTATGAAAACAGGTACTTGTACTCATTTTCTGAAGTACTTTGAGACTCCAGGTATATACAGTATATCAGTATATCCGTATATCATATACCATGTCTTTCCAATTTTGGCTCCTTGTACCACCACCTAGATGGCTCTTTTATGTCACTCTACACCACCCGCTGTTCATGGCCTGTGGGATGTAAAAAACCAGTTGAACTCCGGCAGCCCAGCAGCAAGTGCCATGTTGTCGATCAAGGCCAAGTCCCCTCGCTCCCATTCCTGCAGCCAGGAAGCCCTTCATCAATGGATGTGTTCAATGTATAAACCCCAAACTGGCTGCTTTGTAAAGAAGTAATTAGAGGGTATTCTCCCGATTCTCCAGGCGGACATGACCTCCGGATGTCCACCTCACCTTTCTCTTGTGAATTGGTTGTAAGCCGTGATCCCAAAACTGGTTTAATGGAACATCTACAGGAAACCATTGTGTTCATCCAACAACTATGGGTTTCCTCCAAATGTTCCCTGAAACAAATTCTGGCACATCCACATCAATTCCAAGCATCAACCTTTGTGATGGCCTGCGCGCGCAATGTGGGGTCCATCCCATCAATGGCCTTCTGCAGGGATTCCTGCACCGGCAGCGCCGGCAGAAAGCGGAACCTCAGGACATCACTGTGGAGGGGACGACTCAGCAGTCCTCATGGCGCCTGGCAGCTGGTACAGTGCTGTGAACTTATAGATAGCCTGACGAATTTGTGAGTAAAGAGCGATACACCCCAAACACTCCATGGGACTGGCATATTTACCTACATTGGGGTGGTTGATGTCAGGGGTCAATGTAGGTCAATACGCCAGTCCCAAACAGGCCGGTGCCTGGGCACATGCCCTTCTGCCCCAAGCAGAGTTTGTTATGTAGTTTGTTTGTTTTATCCGGCCCGCCTCCCTGGCTTCACTCCTTGTTCTTCGCCCAGGCACTGGGAGGGACAGTTGTTCTCAGGCCCCGCCAAGATCCTTTGGAGCTGCGCTCGGGCCCCTTTCAAGAGGCCATCCCCACGTGTCATCACGTTGGCAAACATCTCCATCACCACATCCAATGGCACCTCATGGAAGTCTCACGAAAATGCCACGTATGGCATACAAATGGGCAGGCGCACTGTTTGCGTGCAAGCAGGATTTGAGGAGCTGGGTCTGTGGATTTCAAGTGAGATGATCAAGCCCAAGAGTTAGAAGGGCAATCTTGGATCATGTGTGAGCCCTTGCACTACCATTCTACACGCAATCCTTAGAATACTGATCAGCCTAGTGGGTTGCGGAAGTCCTCACTTTGAGGCAACAGTTTTGGTCAGAAGATCTCACAGTCCCTGCCGCCTCTTCGATGAAGCCCAAACAGTAGGTCTGACCCAGGTGAAAGCACATGGTCTTGTCGCCGCGGAAGGGGTGATCATAGACCAGCGGGAGCAGGGACATCTGGCCTTCCCCTTGCTGAAGATCATCTCCAACTCCTGAGATTTGGTGCGGCTGGTCGGTTGGATCCAAATCAACTAGAGGATAGCCATCAGTGAGTGGCTCCCACACTGTCTGTGTGGGGAGCCCGAGGGAGGAAGCGAGCTTGGAACAACATCAAACTTGAGAAAACGGTGGACACAAACAGGTGGATTTATATTGTGCCGCAGAATCCTGAACCCATAAGCCTCTTGTTCGAAAGAAAACACCGGACTGCAGGATGGTGGGGCTCAAAATCAAAATGCATTGACATAAACACCTCCAACCGGGACTCCAACCACACGGTTTTTGTGGATGTTTGTGTTTCTTCTTCGTGGGGGCTGGCCCCTCAAGACACACACACACAACAAAAAAGAACAAACATGTGGTTCCGGGCCCCGCGCCATCAACGACGGTCTCCGAGATGCCTGACACAAACCATAGGCGATCACAAAGCTCTCTCAAGTCTTCATCCATCGAGTGATACCTCGAGCAGTGAGACCACTTGAGGCTTCAAGAACCGGACCGACACAGGACCATGGTTTAACCGGACGCCACTTCCCCAAACATAAACAATGGCTCCTTGGGTAAGGACCATGTGGGAGCCACTCAGAAATATTTGAGGGAGCGGCTATAATAAACGCTTATACAATATGATATATACCCAAACGCACGAAACATAAAGCTCATTAAAGCTCCGATTTCTCTACTCCTGGAGAATGAATGTTGTTCTTCTTCCCAGATTCCTGGCTTGAAAAAGAACAGCAGCAAATAGATGCAAATAGCAGCACCCAAACATGGACACCTGCGTTCCTCCAGCACAGCATCCGCTATCTCCAGGAGTCTCCACCCACCCATGAAACTCAACTCAAGCTGCAGCTCTTTCATGCCCAGGAAGAGAGTATCACCACCGGGGATCGCATGTAAATGATGCATGGTCTGCGCGGCAAAAGGTGCCTGCAACATCACCTGCCACATCCGTGAACAGCGCGCGCGCGCGCGGGTGGGGCTGTTCAGAGCCGCGTCGCGTGAGGTGTCTTTGGCGCGCTGCCAGCCAAGTGTCTTTGGCGGAGCCAGTCAGTTCGGTTCGATCGCAATCCCTTCAGGAAGAATCGCGAAACAAGCTTATAGTCTAGTCGTGTCAGCTGAGTATCTCTTCGTAGATCATGTGAAGTTTTTTCCTCCAGCATGTCGGTATATATGGAATAAGTATGTATGTTCGATTTAGCAAGTAATAAAAATATATCTTAACAGTGTATATACGCGAATGTGTTTTATTTTTCAATATTTCTCTTTGGTGGGACTGATCTGCTGCCCTGCCGTCAACGTCCTTTGGAACAAGCATTTTGGCCGAACAAACTCCATCATCAGCGTAAGTGACTTGGAAAATTACTGACATAGAAATGATGAATCTTGAATTGACTGGAGACATTCCTGACATCTCCATGCTCACCGTGAGCCATCTTACACTGGAGATCTAAATGTCCATTCGTTCCCCCAAAACATCACAACAAAACCTCCCCGGCGGCTGCTTGCGAGGGACTCCATCCACGTGCCAACCACTGGTCCCCACCGACATGAATCCCTCGCGGTCGTCGTTGGCCACACGCAGCAGCCGGGGGTCCGGCGCTTTGGGATGAGGTCGGTGCAGGATGTGCTCCTCGCCCCGGTGACCCTACCGGCTACAAGCGACGAACCCGGGGCTTGACCGCCCGGTCCCCCTGGCGGTCGTCCCACCAACACGGGAGACATGAGATAGAGGTGCGGACGAACAAAAGGGCCGTCACTCAGAAGAAGTGGCTAAGGAATTGTGCTAAGGGTGTCGAAAACTACCAGGGCCTCCTGAAGGGGTGGTTCATGGACATCCCGGCAACCTCTAGGCAGCTATCATTAACCACCCCTTAGGGGGCCCTGGTATGATTTGTGCATATTCATTCTAAAATATTCTAAACTAGGTCAACATGAATTCTGGATGATGAGGATGGTGGCCCGTGGTCTTGCCATGGACCTTCCGTGGACAAGTCTTTCCTCAGGTTGTAGGCTGGTCCCACCGGCTGGAGGCTTGCAGGACTCCTGTTGTTCCTGTGGCTTCAGGACTGCCCTGGCCCTAGTTGCATCCTGTCTGGTACACATGTATACGTAACTTCCCCCGATGTTTTCTGAAGGGTGCTGCATCTGTCTGCTCAGCGGCCAGCAAAAACGGTCAGCAAAAATGATCGATGGATGCGTGCAGCGTAGCGTGCAATGGCTTCGGCCGAGTTTCTAAGGAGCCCAAAGCTTCACTCAGCTTGATGTGGTCTTCAGGCATCCTCAGTGGAAGCCCCTGGACGCTGGAGACGTCAGCCGGAGATCCCACACAAACATCTGTAGCGGTCGACCACACGAGCCGATCGAGCCGCGGTCAGTAGGCACTGAAAACTCGGTTGAAAGGTATGCCAAAAGAACTGTGAACGGATGGAAAGGTGTGCCCTGGCCCCGTTCTAGCTCTTAGGTCAACATGAAGCTCGCGCGCTAAAGCTCCTTTTTACCTGGTTGGGCACTTGAGCCAAAAGTATATGGCATGTACCTGTATAGCGACTATACTGGGACCCCATCCCTATTGACACCCCCCACATCCGTACTTCGACGGGGAAGGGAGATGAGTGGATGTAAAAACCGGAGAACGAATCACGTTCTCAAAAGTGTATTGGAGGTCAGCCAGTATGTCCTATTGAATTGAATTAGCAAAAGATCTTGCATTCGCTTGAAAGTTGGATCAAACAGGCAATGGAGCTACAAGCGGAAAACGTGCACCTACCTATGGTATCATGCGATTACCAACGGTGTGAGACACAATCCTATCTCACTCCCATGATGCCAAAACGGTCATCATGAATTACCCGAGATCCCTCAGTACTTGAAGTACCGGAAGTGGCATGTCGGTATGACCCCAATGCTCAACCATTCGTGAGTTGTCGCATGTAGTCAGCGCCGACAAAGCCAATGTAGTCCTTGATGAGCTCAACGTTCCTTGGATTTCCCGCTCGGATCTGCTCCTCGAAGGACTTCAATTTCTTTGCTTGGATATCGGATACCTCTATGCCATAGTAGCGGCATGCAACGAGGATCTCCTTCGTGACATTCTTCCTCTCCGATTTGATGGCGGGACTAATGTCGATGAATTTGTATGGAGCGGCACCTTCGTTATCTGGTTTCTGGTAGTAACTATATTGGCTCGCTCCGAAGGTCTTCTTGATCATGCGTCTGATGAAGTTTGAGATGAATGCCAATTTCTCGATGATCTCATCCTGGGTCTCAGACTTTCGAGCCTTTGGATCACTCATGCTACGCTGAGTGTTGCCGACCTCTTTGAGGTACTTGTGGCTAAGCCCGCAGCGGATTGCAGTGATCATCATCGGATGAACAACGTTGGCGTGGAATTCATAGATCTGCCACGCTTCTGCTGCAAACACGTCGTCGGTCCATCTGCTCATGCCTACGACCTCGGCTCTCTTGAGACGTCTTGGAAACCCAGTATCCGGATCTTTCGGTACTATTGGCCATCTATTGTGCGGAGTGTCATGCCGCTGTCCATCGTCGAACATTCGCAGTACATCTTCACGACTCTCAAAGCAGTTGATGTCGAACGTTGCGTTGGCCAAGCCCTTGATCAACTTCATCAACCTCAGATCAAATTGCTGTGTGACGGCAAAGTTGTGGTCGATGGGGATCGCAGCTTCTTGCGGCAGTTCGTCAATTGCGAAGGGGAAAGGCTTCGGAAGTTCATTCCCGTATCCATCTTGAGGGACCTCCCGATACTCGGGTTCGCCTTCAGCTTCGTCCGGTCGTTCCTTCAAAATGATAGGAACTTCCTCCTCTTCCTCTCCTTCGGATTCCTCGATCTCAATGACCTCTTCGGCTGTCTTGCGTGCGTTCTTGATGACTTCATCGATGTTTGCACCTGCAGCAGAGGTTGTTTCACCGGAAGAACTGGCTGGGACATCTTTCGGAGGTGATCGTTGATTGCGGTCCCTTGTCTCCTTGGGTATCACATGTGTGAGCTTCCCATTCACGATCAAAACCGCTACGCAGTGCGGACATATCGTCAATCGCACATCGACTTCGCCAAGACAGTTAGGACACGGCCTTGAATCATAGTCTTTCATCGCTCGGCGGTACACGATCTCCTCGAAGAGTTCCTGCCACTCGGTGTTATCATACTCTGGGTAAACACCACTCTCCTCGATCATACCCAACAGCTTTAAGATTTTGGCGTCGTCCTCGGAGTAGGTATCGTCCTGAACCTCAACCGCTAAGCTCTCAAGCTTTTGAAAGCGTGGAATCATGATCGGGTTTCCGTATTTGGACTCTAGAACAAGGTAGCTTCCAGGGTCGGGTTCCCCACTGAGTAACCGGATCCATTCGATCTTCTCAGGCTGTCCGGGTTCCGCATTGTTGCATTGCAACCATGCCCCTTTAACCTCAATCGAAGGGAACGACATTCTCAACCAATAGAGACCCAGTCGCTGAGATGAGAAGTCCGTACTCCTGCAGCTTCCACACCGGAATGTAGAGAACCACTGGGCGATCCCTCATTGCGACCTTACGACCCAGCCAAGGTTTACCCTTGTAGCCCTGCTCCCAGGCCCATGGCGGAAAACATGTGAAGTGGATAGAATCCCTTCCCGATGAACCGAGACCTCCCGGCACTAGCCCTCGTCGAATGATTGAAGTCAGCGCCCCGAGATTGGTAGCGTGAAATGCAGTCACCATAGATAGGGCCATGTCGTTGGTCATTCTCGACCCAATGTGGTCGATGTCAATGGTAACGTCATAACCTCCGCCGTCTATTGAGTGTGCCGAGGTTGCTCTTACAGCCACGGGAAAGCACCATCCATCGCTATGGTGGAGTCTTCCTTTAGAGATTCCCATGTCCTTGAGTTCGTTAATCCATCCCTTCTCCATCGGGTCATCAGGCTCATTGAGTTCATCAGGGTGAACACGGACCGCTAACATTTGGAATCTGACCCTCTTGGTCATGCGGAAACACTCATAGTTTTGGTCGAAGTACTTCTCCAAACGCGCCTTCTTGGTCACGATATCTATGTTGCCGTAGTGATAACCGTCTTCCCAAACTGCATTATCACCTAACAGGTCTTCCCATGACACCCATGCGCCTTCATCGCATTTGATTGGTGCGAGTCTTCCTCCTGTCCTGAACTGGCGTCCAATTCGATGTCTCAACTTCGCTCCCAATCGACGACTCAGGGCCTGGCTCGTTTGGCTGTATTCACGTACTCGACAGTCTGGAGTCGGATACTTGTGGTTGCCGTAGTCGGAGTTCTTTGCAGCGAAAGTGACTCCGTTGATCGGTACTAGTTCAACTTTCCCGACCATCGTCATGGGGTCGATCGGCTTGTATCCCTTCTCCCTCCGTGTTGGTAGGGGATAGAAGTGATGACATGCCTTTGGTGTGAGGGAACTGGAGTGCACAAATGCCTTCTCGACAAATTCATACACCTCTTTCATATCCTTAGGGCCTGCTTCCACAAGCTTCCGCCCATTGTAGGAATGTGGTCCTCCTTCGACTCCATCAGCACTTTCGATCAAGGTGAATCCGTCATGGTCGAACATTGTCACGACTCTTGCTTTTAACATTTCTTTGCGCCTGAACTCGCTGTCGACCTTTCTATCTGGAGTGGGCGACGCTCTCTGCTTCTTCTTCTTAGGCTGTTCGGTTGGATGTCCTGATGGTACATCGTCGGGTGCAACCTCTCCCTTCACTCTCTTCTTCCAATCACTCAACACCGAGGTGACTGTAGGTGAGGATGAAAGGGTCTTCTCGCAATTGAGAGTTGTGTGTCCCGACTCCATGCAGTGGATGCAGAATTCTGCCCGCCCGATCTTCTTCTCAAATTCGTCGATGGCGTGCAGTATTGATGCCTTCGGGTCGGACATGTCAACATCTTGCTCCTCCTTCTCCTGTACACATTCAGTCTCCATATCGACACCTTCGGCCTCGGGCTCGCCAGTGGCTCCTGTTCCCTGTTCTGGTTCTTTTCCGATTTCGAAGAAGTGGTCGATGTCGAATTCAGGAAGCGGCATAGTCCTCATGCGGACGAGAATCAGCGCCACGCTTGCCGCCTCATCAGAGTGCGGGTCCATGGTTCTAATCATCGATCGCTTTCGGTTCTCATATGTTGTCCTGTCGTACAGCGATGCAGTGACGCGTTTGATGGATTCCTCTAATCCCGTCCTCAAAGCTTCGATGTCACCCCATCTCCTGAACATGTGCCTGAAGAGTTGAGCAACTTCGAACATGCCCAGCAGCGCTTCCACCATGTCACCTACCCGTTCCTCCGTGGGATCATCTCCGAATATAGTGCGGAATACATCGGGTTCCAGTATGGTCTTGAGGTATTTGGTGTAGCATACGTTGCCAAGGTCATAGGATCCCTGGAAGTACTTGGCGCTGCCGATTTTCTGCTTTTCCACATGGATGCTGGGTCCTCTCCTCGTTTTGAAGAAGTTCTCCGTCATTGTTGATGACAACCTGATCCCCCCGAAGAACGAAATCTCCTTCTGGAAACCTGGATTCTCATTGAAGATGATCATCGCCTCGTGTAAAAACTTCATCAAGTCATCGTGCGGGTTCATCTCGGAGATTACGATGGTGGGAGAAGATACCGTTTGCCCCATGCCGAAGTTGTGAAGCAATCGAGCACATGCATGAAATCGCTTCTGGACGTAGTCTTCTGCGGACATCCCACGGCATCTGTTTGCTGCTCCGTTGATGCATTCCGTATAGCAATCGTCTTTCAACTCGAAGTCTATGGGATTGCAGAACAGACAGTAATCGCAGCAAATTTCCTCACCCTCCTTAAAGTCATCAATGACGTACCACCTTTGAGTCCTTGAGTATATTGGTTCTGGCTGAAGGACTCCCCAGTACTCATCCATCCATGGCATCTTGTTCTCTCTCCTTACCTTCTCCCTCTTCCTCCTCTCAGACTCATTCTCACCTGAAGGCTCCGCAGTGGACTGATAAGCATGGCTTCCTCTCACGGAATCTCCGAACAAGTACTGATACAACCTCTCTTTGTCCTGCAACACGTGTTCCAAGTTGGGATCATGGAGGCTATTCGCTTCGGTCAAGGGATCCGGTGCCATAAAGCAAGAAGCGAGCATCTTTTCTCTGAACAAGTGCTTTTCCATGACAGCGTGGACCAAAGAGGTTCCAGGCTTCATAGAGTAGGGGTGACCGCTTCCGGCGACCGAAATGGCTCGCCAGAATCTGTCCGACGTTGTGGACATCATGCCATTCAGCGAC